TCATCCCACAGGTTTTCAGAGGTGTTTAGGTATGGGGACTGAATAGCTTCTCCGAAAGCAATCTGAAAAAAAGCTCAGAAATCAACTTGTCTGTTGATATAGTGGAACACATTAGGCTCTAAAGCCATACCAGCTATAGCAGAAGGAGAACTTAAGCCATTCAAAATGCATACTCATTCTTTAATGGTGTGATAAATCAACTCCCTCTGCAGTGTCATTAAAAGTTATAGGGCAAAGCTCTAAAATGAGATTTTTCAGATTACATTTTCAATCTCAGACCATTTGAGATAATGTTAACTTTTCTTCTGTTGGGTGCCATTTTGAGATAAAGTGAGATTTTCTTAAGTGGTGACAAATCCTCTTACTGTTGGTAACACTGGGCAAGATTCATGTCAGAGTTCAATTTCTTCCTCACTATCTGTCTCTCTCTCTCTTTCCTTACCTCCCTCCTCCTCCCTACCTTTCCTGTATTCATCCCTGGTGGTTCTGCCTTATCAGCAGTCTATATTCTGCATGCTCAATCGGCTGATTTGTCAAGGGTGACTCCAAAAGATTCTGATAGGCACTCGGCAAATCACCCAGTTGATCTAAAATATCGACCCACCACAAGAAGTCATTACGTACAATAATGGCAGGAGGGACCTTGAAGATGTGACTTAATTAGGTTTCAAATGTCTTCAGAATAGGTTCTGAGAGAGAAAGAAATTCTTGTGTGTCAAATGGCAAAAGATTATTTTGCAAGCCCTAGAACAATATGCTTGCTTCACCAACTGGGACATTACACTGACTAATTTGTTCAGAGAGATATTTTTGTATTTCTTGAGGATACTATATAGAATCATAACATCATTTTGTGTGACCAATAATATAAATACTTAATATTAATGGACCCAGAAGGATAAGCGGTTTAGATGATGTATGTATGTATGTAACATTAATGGTATACTTAATAGTAATTATAGTTTGTTACTATACTTAAGTACTAATACATTTCCCAAAGACAAAAAACATATATTTTACTCCATTGTGTTGGGTTGGAGCAAAAATGTGGACCATCAAGTGGGACCTGAGAACCGGGATGGGAATCACTGATTTAGACAAATCAGTTGAGTTCCTGTGCAGTCATTCAATTATTCATTCATTTAAAACATCCAATCAAATGCATATCAGGCTAGCATGAAGCTGTTCACTACTATGCCAATTTTTCTTTGTGCAACAACGGGTAATATGTATTACTCCCACACCACATTCTGTAGGCTGCACTTCTGAGGAAGATAAGGAGTGGGAGTGTAGTAGTTGCTGATGGATGATGACTGAGTGAGAGATAATGCTGCACAATGCGACAGCTATGATATCGTGTTATGTATGCATATAAACCTTATTGTAATGCTAAAGTTTATTGTAAAAAGTTTATGGAAAAGGGTTAAGACAGAGGGGACTTGGCAATCTGGGTTATGTGAAGCATGATCATCCTGTGCTCAGCATCAAAGTTACTTTGGTATTAGTCCTGTCTTCAAATTTTATCTGTTAAATATAATTCACTGGCACTCATACTTTCACTTAAATACAGCTACTACTTTTACCCTCAATACTTTTTTCATCAATTTTTGATCAACTGTGTGTATAAGTCACAAAATTCAGTCATATATTATTTTATCCTCCCTCTTGGAAGCTATAATGTTGCACTGAAGCACCAAATAAACAATGAGTGAAGCTCATACCCCCTTACAAATGCACAGATTCATGTAGATTTAAACAAATTTAAACAAAACATCTTAATTTTATTGTGATGATATCTGTTGTTATATTTTGAAGTCAAAAACAAATTTGCCAATGTTTGACACACAATGTTTCACTAATCTATTTTGATCTATATGTTTTTATGTGTTCAGGTCGGAAAACTTGTCTCGTTCAAACATAGAACTGTATTGTACTGTTACAACCTTCCTAGCCACTGTTATGACTAATGCTTGTACTCTCTCTCTTATTTTTGGCGTAACTGTTCATAAACAGTACCTGCTAGGAGCAAAGTTTGTGCTCCCTTTGTAGCAGACATGTGCAGATAGCTTAAATAACAAACAAATAAACGATATATATATATATATATATATATATATATATATATATATATATATATATATTAGTTATTTAGTAAGAACCAAAAAAGCATTAAGCCGTACCCCATTTGCCTAATCTCTTTCTAAATACCAAGAAGATAAATTTCATCATTAATCAAAGCAAATCAGGGGTGTCCAGTCTTATCCACTAAGGGCTGGTGTGGCTGCAGTTTTCATTCCAACAAAGCAGGAGCACCTGACTCTACTCGTTAAATCAGTTGGTCTCTGTCTTTGATCATTTATGCTCCTTTGATCATTTGATCATTTTGCGATTTGATCAGCTGAGCTCCTGCTTTGTTAGACTGAAAACCTGCAGCCACACTGGCCCTTTGCAAATAGGACTGGACACCCTTAATCTAAAGGAATGTGCCATAATTCTTGCCAGTAAACATTATTGATTAAAATGTTGGTTTCAATCATTTTGTGACAGGTAGTTAGGACTTATTTGATTTCTACCAACAGTTACATCTTTTTCCCCTTTACATTATTACTCAATGGAAACTGGAGGCTCAATGAGAGGATGAAAATGACAAAGTTTTGTTAGACTATTCCCTACAGCAAGGGTGCTCAAATCTGCTTGTAGAGAGCCAGAGTCCAGCACAGTTTGGTGATTTTCCTGATCAAACGCTTCTACTAAACCTAGTTATCGACTGCTGAGTTGAAGCAGTTTTGTTTAAGCAGGAAAATCACCAAATTGAAATGGACTGCAGCCCTTAAGAATGGAACTTGGGCACTGACGCTCTATAGAAAGACCAGGCACTTTGCTTTAGTCATCAGTTATGTTCTTAGGTAATATTTTCTTATAAAAACAAGCAAAATGATAGCAGTTATAATGTCAAAAAAGTCTGAGACCGCATCTGTGGAAACCAAATAAAATGATCCAAATGGATTTTTTCCAGATGACATTAAAAATACCTTAGTGCAAACTACATTTAGAGTACAAGTAGGTCATCTGTCTTTCTCTTTATGGGTTGTTTTTGCAATGAGATGAGAATAAGAGCAAGTGCCAGTTCTGGTAAAATGCCTCTATTTTTTTGCATATATTTGATAGCAGTATTATCAGATATTCATTCATTTTTACTTCTATCTATAAGGTATGGGGTCATCTCTAGTTCCCTACCCTTACCAGTTTTCCTTATTCACACTAAAGTACCACTGATCTACACATACACCTGCAGAAGAGTTTGTGCTCTGTTGCGTCGCCTTCTAAAGTAGCAGTCACTAAACAATACTGAGTGCCTCAGTAAAATTGTGAAAGAGCATGATTTCAAACATACTTTGATACTCATGTTTTGAGTAGAGACTGTCGAGTCCCTAAGAGTTTATTTTGGAGCACCTCGGTGTTTTTGAGTGCACAACAACTATGAAAACAGTTTTAGACTCTGTGTTTGCACCAAATCAATAAAGCAACAGAGTTAAATTCAGGACAAGTTGTTAAACTACTCTTCTGCTTGTTAGGCAGTGTTACTGTTGATATATTGCCAGAATGCTCTTTTCATGGTTTCTTTTGAAATTGGATTGCCTTACCTTCAAATAGAGGTTAAAGTAGTTCTTAGACAAATAAAGGATGAGGAATTCAGAGTTGTGGAATTGAAATATATCAGTAGTTTGGAATGTTGCATGGATATCTTCTGAAAGGAAACACAATGAAATACAAAAAATGATGTGATATGAATTTAATTGGACACTCTAGTCATTTCTGTATCTGTTGTATGCATGCTTATTCACATCATACACATGGTGCAGTAGGCTGTAGGGAGGGATTTTCTACTTTAAAGACTAGGAAAACCCTTGTCTGATGACATATCCTGAAGGTGGAAGGAATATTTGAAAAGCTCCAACTACATGGGGTGGATTTTTGAGGCCAGGGTATTTTTATTTTTACTTCATGTTATTTATTTATTTATTTATGATAGCTGATGAAACAGGTAGGAGGTGGATGACTAACTTTAGAAATCTAAATATCTTGTTGAAGCCTTATAACTATAGTAAATAAATGTTCAAATCAACATTACAGTGGACATAACAGATTACTCAAACAATAGATATGACATGTCAGATGAGGAGGACACCAAACTAAAAGCTAAAGCTGGCAAAGTGACTGGCTATCATGATACCTTACTTCAGTCTGGCTTCCAGCGCTGGCTGAAAGTGTAAAACTTGTCTATTTTATACTGTTTTCTTTACAATTTTGTTTGTTGACAGGCAAGAGTTACACTAATTAGTTGGTTGTATCTATTAGCCTTTTACTTAGTGGCAGTCAGGATTGGTTGATACTGCAGTGATGCATTAAGAGTATTGTAGTGAGAGAACATTGAGGAACAAAATGATAACGATATTGAAACAATATAAAATGGCTGCACTAGAAAATACTGCATATCATGACAAATAACATATTAAGTAAATTAAACTCTGGTTTTCTATTCAGCATTCCAAATAACTGAAAACCTTTGAAGCACCTTGATATGAGAATCGAGTATCTTTGGATCAGTGGTGGAGGCAGAGGCCATAGCAGAAATGAATGTAGTGAAAGTGACATTAGCTGCTTCATCTCTCAAAGCTGCTTAAGGTCCTCATACAGCGAGCTGGTGTTTCTAAAAGCAAAAGCAGAGTGTCTGTTTCTGAGATTCAGTGTCCTTGGATTGTATTGTGAAGAACACACAGACACACACCGAATGCTAAAAAGCTTATTTAGTTTCATTACTGTCCTTTGTGTCATCGGTCAACATGTAAGTGGAAATGTTTCTTATTATGCATTACTCACAGTTGCACAAGATTGCAAAAGCCTGTCATGATGACCAATAGTCCTGCAGGAGAAATATTTTAACTCCTCTATAATGACCAATGATTTGGCTATTGTTTTTACTGAACTTTCCTCACCAGAAAACAAAGATCTCCACATACGACAAGATGTGGGAGTTCATGAGCAGTCGCCGGCATTCCGTCATGGTGAAGAGTGTGGAGGAGGGGATTCAGCGGGTGCTTACCTCAGATTATGCCTTCCTCATGGAGTCCACCACGATCGAGTACGTCACCCAACGCAACTGCAACCTCACCCAGATTGGAGGCCTCATCGACTCCAAGGCGTACGGAGTTGGCACTCCTATGGGTAAGTAACAAAACACACAATTTAAAATAGGAAAAAAAGATGCTGCGCTGCAGCCAGTAAACCGCTGAAACAGTCTGATTTTTGACATGTAAGCAGTTCCAAAATAATGATCTAAACTTTGAGTTTTCACGAAACTAGGTAAAACTCTGATATGATTATTGGTCATTTTGAAACCCAAAGAAATGAGAGCGTATGCCTTCCTAATTTTAGGTGTACTTTAAAAATGATGTTTTGAAACAGAGCTTGGTGTCATTCTTAATTATATGCTGATAAATGGCATAATAATGAACATAAAATTAAAATTTTCAAATGCTGTGAATGCAAATGAAAATATCAGTTGATTAACCCGATTGACAACACAATGCAGTGGTGCCATAATACGAAAACTGATTAATAACAAACTCATGCAATGCACTTTACAACTACTCTCAATATGGAGACACTACTGGGCAAAATATTGGCACTTATCATTCCAATTTAAAAAAAAAGGACTAATCTGCATCCGTGGTTGAATATTCCTGTATCCTGATGGTAAATGTTTACTGTGTACCTTTATAAGTGTGTAGGTAGGGATGACTGTGTGGACAAAGACTACATGGACAAATTAAATCTTTGACTAGAGTTTGAGGGTGTGGTCCTCTTTGCCCACAAAGATATTTTTCTTTTTTATGTAATTTATGTATTTATTTCAGATCTCTAATTTATGAGGATTTCTTATTGTGTGGTTATAACAGTCAGGGTTACATTTTGTTTGAGGCAGGTTTTTGCCATTTTCTCTGAGCTCACTAAAAGCGCAGGGGGAAGGGGGGGGGTGGCGGCAAACATGCAAGAAATAGACGAATACATGAAATAAATAAGTGAATGAAGAGGGTGACAGGAGGCATTTCCACTGCTATGCGGAGGAGCAGGATTTGATTATCAGGCTCAGTAGCAGATTGTCTTAATCCTGTTATACATGCAGCCCCTGGCTGCATCAGCCGCTGAGAAAGGAAAAAAAAGGAAAATGTCTCTACTAAGTACCTGGAAAAAAGGAAAAAAAAGGAGACTTCTCAGCATAAAGACCACATGCAATTCATGAACTTTTATTTTTAAAAAATACATAAAAATATATTTTTGTATTTCAGGATAACAAAGTATTTTTTTTTGTCATATCCAAGAGGCACTTAAGTATGCACTATTCTAAGTACTTATCAAAATGCATTGTGCTGCACTTGTGCTTTGTTTAATTCTTTAATTCTTTCTAGGCATTAGCACTGGCTTTTGTTTCTGGCAGCGTCTTAGCTCAAGAGTAGTTTGGACTCTAACCTATTTGTACTAAGTAGGATACATTCCCTGAGAAGACAACAGAGCACTTTTGTAAGTCGCCCAGGCTAAGAGCATCTGCTAAATGCCGTAAATGTAAATGTTGTATTGCTATTCATTTGTTTACTTATTTTTAAACATAATTTAAAGCTGCCCTTTTCTTTATGTGAACATTTCATGATGAACTGAACAATACGATTGGTCAGAATGAACTTGGATAAGATCTTGTTCCATTAACATACATTATAGACGTCTTTTCCTTCTTCTATAATGTTACCCTCTAAGAGGTACAAAAAATGTTGTTACCACAGCAGCAACATCCAAATATATTATGCATAAATATGTGGTTGTTTCAGAATTCGATATTACCCTATAAAGTTGCCATTTCAAATACACAAGGCTTTCTTATGATGGCAATGATATACAGACTTATTTTGCATAACTACACAATTTTCTGCATTTGATGTGCCTCCTTTAAAATGATGGAAATGGTGCTTTTACTGCTACTGTGATCATTTGTTAAGCCATACGGGCCGTCATGTTTTGCAGGCCTTTTTATACATCACCTGAAAAACACAGAATATTGTCCTGTACTGAATGCAGAAACACAAAGCTCACAGATGAGGTTTCTTTTTTTGTTACACTTTTGCCACTGTTTGTGCTCTTATTGTTGTGTTTGCATGTGTCTCACACAGTGACGCATTCTGCATTTTAAGAAGCATTGCTTTGAAAGCACAAAATGACTGAAATTTGAGGAGGCACCTTGATGTGAGAATCAAAGGCCTTTGGACCACTGCTGGAGGCAGACGGCATAGCCACCACTGACATTTCAATGAGTCAGATCAGTGGGAGGGAGTCTGGATTCCGAGCAACAGCTCTTAGTGTTAGTGGCCTGTGAGCTTTGCCATATTGTTTCCAGTATGCTGTTCTTCACAGTGTCTGGAATGTCTATAGCTGTAGGGTCACCAGGGACCTGTTTCTCTTTGTGGTGGTCTGAGGTGGTCTGCTTGCTACACGGTGTTCCGTACACACACATATGAATGCAGCCCCAGTGTGAAATCTACTTCATCTCTCACAGCCGCTTATGCCAGAGAGCCAGTAAGTCTACAAGCGAGCACAGATAATGTGTTTCTGGTTGGTAGAGTGAGTGTCCTGGGATCGTATTGTGGAGAACACACACAGGGCATTCGGAAAAGGGTGTTTAGTATTATCTCTCCCCTGTGTACCTTTTGCAGGCAGCTCAGTGTGAGGCATTTAAATTGCTAATCCTACCCTTTTAGTATCTGTTACCATAGGCAGGCTGTTCTCCCCATCCCAGGCTCCATTTAGCATATATATCATTGGCTTTAACAGAGCGTGTGTGTCAGGCTGCATTAATAACTGGACCTTTAATAGTGCTGGATGCACAAACCTGTCTGGCAAGGCTCCCCACGCTGTAGTTTACAGGTTTAAAGCCTAAACTGCTTGAAATTGTGTTTCTATGTAATTTAAGATGCTTGAAATGGGAGAGGGTTGAAATTTTATTTAGAATTATTTTTAGACAATTTATATTTTATATATATATATATTAAGTGTGACTATGAAGGCATAATACTGGGTTTGGAAGTTAACCACATGTACAGAAACAGATGAAACACCAAATATCTTAAACATCTTAAAGGGCCTGTATCCCACAGTTTGTTTGGTAAATTATTTTTTTCCTGACATCCACTTATGACATTTGTCTGGATTAATGTTCTAAAGCAGTGATTCACTCTTGCATGACCATTTTTCAACTTCTGTTTATCCTTTTGAATTAACAGGCTGTTTTTGCTACTGTACATTTAATATTGGCATATGTAAATGAATCTGATTGTCATACATTGTGCCTTACTCAAGAAGCAGCTCAAGCTGAAACACTCTTTATAGCTTCAGTGTGAATGGGTGAGGTTTGCCTGCTGTAGGCTGAATAGATGGATATATGTAAATGTGTTTTTTGAAAAGCTTCATAATTTGAAACTGAAATTCTTGCTTCAAAAAATGTTTTCCATCATATGGACCTTTTAACAGTTGTATTATATGTTAAAAAGGAGTTTGTCCCTGACTTTGCTCATGCTGCTGTGAGACTGACTACATTATCAAACACTGAACAAGAAAGCAGCATCTCAAAGTTACATACAGTAGTGATTTTTTGAGAGCAAAGAGGAATGAGAAAGTAGCCAGGAGTAACATCAGGAGGCCAAGACGATCATGCAATTTTTACACACCACCATCATACAGGCTCTTACATTCACACAGTAACATGTATCACATTGTAATCAATAATGATAGTTATCAACCCTTTCCACAGTACTTAGCACTGTTCTTAGAGCATACACTCTAAAAAATATATCCCTAGATAGTTTTTGACTTGAATCTATGATTGTTTTAGGAGAAGAATCTTTTTTTCGTATAGAAACTTTACATCATGTGGGGGTTCTTGAAACTTTAAAAGGTCCTTCACACTCTTACGTCACATTTACAAAAATCCTTCTTTAAAGAATAATCCACTGAAAAGTTCTTTAGAGAACTAAAAGTAGTGACAACACTCCAAAGAATCATGTCTGCTACCAACAGTATAGTGAGAAAATTATCCAAAGCTGGTGTCCTACATGGAGAATGAGAAGAATTGCAGCAGCATTATCTGCACTCTGTTAAAGATGCTTGCTTGCTTTAAATCCTGCTTATATATTTTAGAAAGACCAAAAAGACCAGATAATTTGCTGTGTATAGTATGCATGTACATATGCCACACAGTTTTTAGAGGTGGTTGTTAGTATAAGTAGAGCAGACTGGGGAGATTGCTTTGGATTTCCATCAAAAACTACACAATACATGTCAGAACTGCGTTAGTGGACTTTACACAGTGTGTCTGCTATTTAGACACAGTCCTTTTAAAACAGTATTATATAGTCAGATATCTGATTTATTACAGTAAAGAAGAGCTTGGAGGAATTTTTCCAACCCTTCCCAAGTAAGCTAGCAATAAATTAACAGTCATATATCTTAGTGTTCTGAGGCAAACAAATGAATTCTGTCAAAAGCCAGGAAGACAGTATAAAAGTACTGGATGGAAAATAAACTGTTGTCTACTAAAATAAGCATAGTAACACCACAGGAGAAATGTCTGTTGTAATATATTTAGGGACAATACAACCTCACAGTTAACACAGACGGGTAGGTTACACTTCATAGAGCACATCTAGCTTTAGTCCTGCCTGGCTTTTAGAGATATCTGCTTTCCTATTCTGAATGTCTAATAGGAATTCCTTACAAGCTTACTGTATGTTCCTCCAAATCATTTTAAGGTAAGAAATCATGTACTCCATTAATAATTTTAAGTGGTCCTTGTGTGCTTATTAGCATTCATCATAATATGGCAGTATTAAAACTACAACAGTTAAATTCTGACAAACCTTTGCACAAACTCAGTCAAAAAATGTTAAGTGTGTATTAACTTGCTAATAAACTGCTTATCGTCATTTAGCTGATTACCAGAAATTTATTTCACGATTCAAATTTTGTTATACATTACTATTCAAGACATTATTATTCAGGATTATTCAACTAAATAACTAAATTCGTCTCCTGAATTGAAAAAGAATGGACCTTCATTTTGAACAAAACAGCTGAAGGCTAAAGAGAAAGCTCTTGAAATCCTGGCATACATACATGGCCGA